AGTGCCACAGGCTGATTGTCTCCGTGCCACGCCGCACTGATGCAGTAATTCATGCAAAAGGAGGTCCAACCAAGTATTGAGTACATGTACAGTAAATGAAGATACTTTCCAGAAGGCCAACAATTCACTAAAAATTTTTTTTTTTTGGGTCTCATGTAGTATTTTAATTTGTTGAGATAGTGAATTGGTGGGTTTTTGTGAAATGTGAGCCACAATCATCACATTTAAAAGAACCAAAGATTTAAACTACTTCAGTCTGTGTGCATAGAATTTATTTAATACACGAGTTTCACAATTTGAGTTGAATTACTGAAATAAATGAACTTTTCCACGACATTCTAATTTATTGAGATGCACCTGTATATATAAAATAATATTTTATTTTATTAGTCAGTGGATATGACTATTGACATTTTGGCTTTGAAAGATTGAGATGTTTCTTATAAAAATGTAGTTTAAAATATAGTGGTGGTATCATTGTTGTTGTTGTTGTTGTTATTATTATTAATAATAATAATTGTAGTAGTAGTAGTAGTGGAAATATTAGTAGTGTTAAAAATTATATGAAAAAAAAAACCACCATTATGGCCTAAAATGGTGTAAGGGGACAACTAAAGTGTGACACTATTTTAACCATAATCCTGACCCTCCAACTATATTTTCAAGATGTGTATCCAATCAATCAAAGGAATGAATGAAAAGCTCTTTGTATCTCATTTCCATGAGCATTTCCTGTGGTGATCTTGTGGCCACACACATCCCTGACAGCCCTATCAAGACAGAGCAAGACTGCGTACATATTTATTAAGACCTCAGTGGCAGGTGTGTTTAGAAAAGGCTGTCATTTCTGATTACTGGCCTGTGTGGTGGCGTCCAGCTGGAAAAGATGGCAGCCTGTTGTCAGATCTCATTATAGAGCACGTCCTGCAGAATTAAGATAGAGGTATAGAGATGAAATGAACGGGATGCGGAGAGAGGTGCGTCACAGTTTCTAGCATTACCTGTGTGTCAATATCTATTCATTCATGGATTATTTGGCCGCTTGTGTTGACAGCTTCTCCGTCAGATTGTGGATTAATTTCCCCGTCTACATTATCATTTTCGTTAGTTAGTGAAAACTGATCCAAGACCAGCATTATTTGTCAGAGAGACAAGAAATATATATGTTTGTGTGTATTTTTGTTTTTATAAAAGATGTAAATGTTCAATAAAAAGTTGTTTACAAATGCCAAGCAATTTGGCAAATTAACATGTTAATACATAATTCGATTGATGTGCCGGTTTATCTGCTATTTTACATGAAAAAACATGTCTTATCCAATCAGAATCTGGGTCAAAAATATCTGTTTTATTATATGTTTAAAAAAAGAATACTTAAAAAAAAAAAAAGTATAAATTAGGTATAAAGTATAAGTTATTCGCAAACAGTTTGTTCGACCAAAACTATTGATGCAGCATCCAACATTTTAATGTCTATTGTACAAAGTCTTCAATCGTGGCTTACCCAATCAAGAATATGTTTTATTATAACTTTTATTACACAGTCCAATTTGACAAATAATGTGAAAAGAGAATTGTACAATATTTACAGTTTGTTTATTTATTATAATTAATAAAATGTATTATATTGCACATTTAATTATAACTCAATGTCATTAAATGTATTTAATTATTAATTTAATTGCACATGTAATTATAACTGAATATGTAACTAAATATGCAATAAAATGAATGAATTAACTGCATACGTAATTGTAATGTAATTATAAATGTCATTAAACATATTTAATTAATTATTAATTTAATATTTACAAACAGTTTGCTCCACCAAAATGGTCATATAACATAATTATTATTTTTCTATTCTCTCCAGAAATGTTTGAATGAATTGTTTGATATCCGAACAATATTTAAAAAAAATTGACTATGAAATAAAATAACATATTATCTGTGCAGAATATTTAATATGCCAATTGAAATAATATTTTATAATATTTATTTTTCATAAATACATATTTTTATAATATATTTAACTTACATATATTTTAAATAAGATATTTAAATAAAATATAAAAAAGGGTAGCTGGATCCTGTTGCAGAACAAGAAAATCCACATCCTGGCACTCACATATGTAGAAATGAAATGGAATTAAATTAAATTAAATTGAATTGAATTGAATTGAAATGAAAACTATAAAGTCAAGTCAAGTGAAAAAATATATAAATAAAATAAAAATTAAATGATAAAATAATTAAATTTAAATTAAATTAAATAATAGATTTTGTTACCAAATTTGGTGTGAAGAGGATAAGAAACCTGGTGAGTGATTTAGACAAAATGGGACGGCAAACATCTCTCACATTCATGACTAGAGCTCACACATGCTCCGTTAGCACTGCATTCTGTTGCTCAACACGAGCACTAATTAGCTTTACTCAGATGTAACATAAACGTGTAAATCACAGCAGGAAACAGCCATGGTCTGTGATGATGATCTCAGATTGCTCTGTTTGTCTAATTCTCGGTCTCAGAGAGGGAAAAGTAATATCTCCGGCTTTGCTTGCTATCATAATACACTAAATGAACTGGCGATGACAGCCGCTCTTCAGCCGCTCTCTCATTTGTGTGTGTGTGTGTGTGTGTGTGTGTGTGTGTGTAACCATCCATGTAAATGTGTGGTATTTTTTTGCACTGTATTCTGTTTCGCTGTGTTTCTCCAGCCAGTCCCTCTAAAGCACTTCAGGTCGGCTCCAGTCCTGTAACTAATATGAATATGATGCATACATGCTCGACGGGAGCTAATTAAACATTGATAGTGTTTCTCATTCAGAGGGTCATGTGGACTCTCAATCAGAATGGCAGCTCTAATTGCGTTCTGTGGGATTAGATAATGGATGCTGTTCCTGCTCCGCTTGTCCTCCGCCAGCTGCTGGAGTGCCATAGATCGCTGCCTCTGGTATTTTCAATTATTTTGAAGTTGGCAACATCTGTGGAAGAAGTTTCTAGAAAGTTATACATTTGTAACTTGTGTAAGATCAGTATAATGTTCTTTTGGTACAGCTATGCGTTTTTTGCTCATTTATCATAGCACTACCTGGTCAATTCAAATGTTCAGTGTAAGTCAGATTTATTTAGTTTTAATTATTATGACTAATAAACTTTATTTAATTGCATATGTAATTAAATATATTTATTTAACTGCATATATAATTATAACTGAATACGTCATTTTATACATATATATATATACATGACTAAATGTAAATGTAATATATATATAATTACATATGCAATTAAAACAATAATATTCATTTATTTTATTGCACATGTAGATACATATTCTAAGTATATGTACATTTGTGTTAATGGTGCTGTGGAGAGCAAATTTGATTGGTAGAGAAATGTTTTTCTCTGTATGGTTAAGTGGTGCTGCACTATTCAGTTGAAGTAAAAGTTGAAGCTGTTTAAATGTTGATTTTATAATGCTAGTTCTGCTCTGAATCAATGCATGCCCTTAGGCTACATCTGTGTTTATAGAGCTTACAGATGGATAATTTAATGCACTGAATTTTACATCAAGTGCAGTTTTTTTTTTTAGCTGCATTTGATTGACAAACTGAGTTGCATATTAAACACTCTTCAACCAAAACACTTTTCAAAAGATGAGACAGATTTACTGTAGTATAAACGATTACTGTTTATGCTGTGGTGACTTATATTTGCTATTAAATTTCCCCTTACTTTTCATTCATACGTTTGTTTACATTTTCTGTTTTATAGGGATTGCAGGTGTATATCCTTATCTTGTGACTTTGTATTTGATTAATTTTCATTTTACAATATTTTAATCATTGAGATTATAGCATTTAATATTTTAGATTTTTAAAATTAAATCTTTTAAAATGTAGAATTTCAATTTATTAAATATTGTTTTTATTATTTGTTATTATATTTTCCATTTGCAGGTTAATTCTAGTTAGTTTTAGCAATTATGCTGAATTTTTGTAATTGTATAAGTTGTTTTATGTCTGTAGTACATGATAAGCTTAATGAAAATAAGAAATGTTGCTGAATGTAGCCACATTTCATAATTTATTTTATTTTATTTCATTATATATTTAAGTTACAAAAAAGTGTTTTTTATGATCTTAGTTTTAGTGAACTGTAATAACCCTGATTAGAGTTAAGGATGAGGGTGTTTTCCAGAGTGTTTGAATGGAGAGCGTCTCTTATCTGTCTTGTTTCTCCGTCTGTGTGTTGCAGTAATGAAGAGCGATTGCAGCAAATCAGGAATCAGCTTCAGCAGGTGAGACCGGCTCCGTCCTACGATGACCTGAGCGCCCGAAGACGACCGGAGTACGACCCTTCACGAGTGAGTGCTGTGTGCTGTCTTGCTCTCTTTCTATTTCTTTCTCTGCTGTCAGACGGGAAGTGACAGACTGAGGTCTGGCTGCTTTCTCAGGCACTGATTCAAAGCTCAGATTATCGGGGTTGATCTTGCGCTGTGTTTCGGGCCAGATCTAAAGTACTCCGACTAATCTGTTCATCTGCTCAGACTCAGCAGGGATCTGCTCGCTGCACAGCACTGTTTTCCTGCTCACTGGAATAATTATTATGTGATCATTATAATTCTGGATATTTTTTTGTCTTTAATACTACAAACCTAATGCCATATTTTGTGAGCTACTGTATTGTTTTGTTTTATTACAAAATGGAACATCCTATAAAATTTCCACATACAGGAAGTGACATCACTTGCACCCTTTCTACAGCAAGATGGGTAAATAATCCCATTCCATGTACGTCTTTTATTTTATTTTGACTACATTTGTTAATGCATTCAGCCCTATTACTGGAAGTATTGTAAGATCAAACTAACATTTTTCTTTAGTTTATGGTGTTTTTTTTTTAAACAACATTTGGTTCCAAACTAACTAGTCCCTACTGAGTGACAGCTTAATTTAGTTGTTTTTTTGTTTTTTTTTAATAAATGTATTTTTTTAAAGGTTATTTATATTATAATTTTATATTCTGTTACATACAATATACAATTTTATATTATATATATTTTTTTTTCTTCTTTTTTTTTTGCTAGAATCAAATATTATTTTTTCTATTTTCTAATTTTCTTATGATCCTCCTTTAATTTTTCACTTCAGTCAGTTTTAAACCAGTTTATTTTAATATTATTTATATACTATTCTATTATAGTATTTATTGATCTTTTTTATTTTCTCTTTATATTTTTTTTAATTTTTATATTTTTATTTGAATCAATTTTTAGTGTTACATTCTTTTCACTTTTTTATATTTCTGTATAGCTATATTTATTTTATTTTAATAATTTTAGTACTTAAACTTGCATTTTTCAGTTAGTTGCAATACAACTAACTGAATATTAATATGAGGGGCTTTTTTTTGCTGAACTATACCTTTTTGTGTTAAAATAGTATGAAAAACACTTGTTCTGCTTGCTACCTTTTAATAGTTTTTGCACTCCTTTGGCACCTTGCATAAAAAAATAATAAAAGACAAATGGGGCATCCAACATGATGTTATGAAAATGGTACCGTGCGAGACGTGAGATTTATTATGCATGAAAGACAAGAAAATATGAATAAAAACCTGCTGAAACAGTAGGAAAAGAAGGGGAAAAAGCAAGACAGAACCACCGAAATGAGAAAAATGAACAATCACGCACAAATCCCTCCTAGAAATCACAAGGTTTGAAAATGGCAAGGGTGACAGTCAGCCGTTCTCTTCTGGGCCACTTTAAAACAAAAACTCAATCTAAATTGGAACCAAGGCTTTTTTTCAGAAGCACTTATCGGATCCCTGAACTCTGTCATTACAGCACCCGGAGCCACGCTCCCGTCCACCCAGATGTCCAGCACTTCATTTTCCAGAGATTGAAGGTTGTGTCCAGGGCTCAGCAAAGTTTACAATTATAGTTTATATGATTACACACATCTGCTAGAAAAGCCAACTTCATTGAGACTTTCCAGGAACAACTGAGTGAAAAATAGAAGCTCTGGTGCTGGAAGGAAAGTGACGTATCCAGTGTCTGATCTTCCTTGCATGGAATACTTTTGTTTTTCTTAAATGGTTATAGGTTAGAGTTGATTTTGATGGTTTTGCAATTTAGTGCATGCAGTTTTAATGCAATGAAGCAAATTGACATCACATGTGTTCTAATTTAGTAGTAGATATTGCATTCCTATTGAAAATCAGTTGTTATATTTTATTTAAATAACTTGTCATTACAAATCCGTATGAATAATGTTAGGCTATGTAAATATACTCTGTGGGTTAAAGGGTTGGAATAGAAATTGTGCTTCCATTAATTGCGTTAAATAATTGTAACGCGTTAACATTGACAGCCCTAATATATATATATATATATATATATATATA